ACGGTGCGGGGCTGGTTGGCTATCTGGCTAGAAGACAGAGCCGGACGCACGTTGAATCGAAAGGACGGGACCTCACCGTGCCTGATTGAAGGCGTGGCCAGGGTGGCCCGGCAGCAGAGGAAGGAAGGGAAAAGAAAGGAATGGGGTTCGGCTGCTGGCCCGAGCCTTGGTGGGATGTGACGACTGCACCCGAGCAGTCATTGTGAGCTAGTGCCGCCATGAGAGGGGGCACACCCGCGTGCGGGCGGTGGCAGCGCAGCCGCGCGGTCGTGGCACCATTAATGGCGAACAACAAACGGTGGCCTCAACAGGGCCACATGCACTAAATTGCGATGCAGCGACGCAGAGGCGCAGGCGGACACGACAGTGACAACGCGGCGCAGCACGGTGACGGGACAGTGGTGGCGCAGCGGCACAGGTGGACGCGACGCAACGCTGCGGCTCAGCGATGACCCAACGACGCAAGCGGCCAGGCAGCAGCGGGCTAGCCAGGGCATCGGGCCCGCCGAGCGCGGCGGTGCACGACGCGGGAGTGTACATGCTCTGGTCGTGCAACACGGCCAGGCACGGTAGCGGCGATGCAGAGCCAGCGCGATGGTGCCAGGCGGAGCAGAGCCGGCACGGAGCGACACGGGCAACCACCAGAGCATCAGCAACGACGTCAGCGGCAGCGCGCAACGCAGCAGTGGGGAGGAGCAGCTGCGCGCCTAGGCAGCCAGCCACCGGGACAAGCCGGGCGTGGCCAGACACGCGCGTGCGCGTCCGGCGCGCCATCGATGGCACAGGAGCATGGTGACCGCGTCCACGCACGGAACTCGGCTCAAAACGTGCCATGCACGCTTTTTAAAGTGTCCCAAAAACCCAATTCGATGATTCAATTGCTAAGCCACCTATTTCATACTCGAGAGGGCATGTTAAGCTACTAAAACAAACCCTAATACCCCATCACACCTTAACCCGATTATTCTACAAAAATTGACAAACTTAGCCTTGTCAAACCACTTTTCAAACTTACGAAATCGACTAAGTCCTGATCGAATTCGCATCAAATTCGATTTCCAAGCTATTCGGTATACTAGCTAGCAAATTACATTCGCGACCTCAAGTATTTCATCGTCACCTATCCGGTTTGTACTTCTAACTTTACTAAAATTCCGTATATGCGTTCTATAGCATATGTGCTTAATAAAAATTGATTTAGAACCCTAAGTAATATAACTTGACTAGGAAATGTAACTTTCGTTTCGCGTTTTCGACGATCGTTTCGAGTTACAGAAATTGATTTACACACTATTTTACATACACTATCACATAAACATGATGCCCATGCAGTGTTTTAGCAAAAGATTGCACAGTGTAACACCGAGGGTGTTACAGAAAAGAGATATGATTACTGCTTCCTATATGTAACTTCAATATGTGATGTGAATGGTGACACGCATATGATGCAAGTGTACCTTAAGTCAACTTTTTTTCTATATTAACAGTGACAGAACTTGATAATTATTTAGGATGTAATATGTATAAGTAGTTTCACATATTTTCTACAATGCCTCAGGTAACTTTTCATGTTATTTTAATTTTAATAACTATAGAGGCGGATAATTTACATTCAAGTTCATGAGTTACTTTATATTATTTTTCGTAATCGCATAGGTGGGTTACTTTGAATAGCAAAGGTAATGGCTAATTAAGATATAACTTTAGGGATTAGTAGTTTGTATAATTTCTAGGATGGGTCACTTAGATAAAAATAAGGGAATTATTTTGGGATGTTTCTCGTAATCGCAGATGTTGGTAATTTGTAGATGTGGATTTTGTGATTACCTTAGAGCATCTCAAGAGTCTTTCTAAACTCATTCTCTGAATCATCATTTTGAGAGTTATTTGAATAAAAGTTGTTTTCTTTTATCTTTGTACCCTCCAATAGTTTTTCTATATCTTTTGTGCACTTTAGAGAATCATTCTCGATACCCATCTTTGGCTACAGAGAAATATGTAATAGAGGATGTCTATACAGTGCGGAGGGGAACTAAAATATTAAGGGGGGAGGCTAATTTGCCCAATGCTAAATGTAATTACACTAATGCTACAGTATTAGTTTTTTTTAATAAATGAAAAATGAATGAAAGCCTGGAACGGTAGCGGCCACCAGGCAGTTGATGAGGGCCGCAAGAGAGCTCCTTAGTGGACTCCATGCATGCTATACTTAGGGGGCAGGCGGCTGGTTGGTTGGCCGCGAGGAAGCATGTGTTGGGTGAGGGGGGGTCCAGTGAGTCCGATGGATTGGACCGGGCCGGACGCATCGATCGTCTCGGTCGTCGTCGTGTTTTGCCGTGGACGTGGACCCGGCCGAAATTCTGACGGGGCCGGGCCGGGCCGCCGGGGCGACGTCCGGAGTAGAGCAGGCCAGCAGGGCGGGCGATGACGGCTGGGCGTGCGTGCTCGGCGAGGGCACGCCCAACGCGCAAGCTAGCAGCATCGTATACCCCAGCTGAATTCGTCCTTCCACGCATCAAGTAAAGATCAGGGACATGTATCTCCCATCGCGGGTAGAGAGATGGATATTTTTTTGTCAGAAGCTTTTGACAGTGCATGGTGCAGCCTTTCTTGCTTTCTCTGCTCCTGAAGCAGCTACTTCCCTTCCCCAACGTGTTTTTCACCGGTGGCTTCTGCTTTTTGTCAATTGAGACTACCGGCTGCTCTACTGGAGACTGTGAACAACTGCGAGACCACCACTCCTGGTGAAGAGTCTGGACGCCTATAAGAACCTCACCGTGTTGCATCGGTGAAGCCCTCAGTGCTCTGGCGTGGTCTGGATCTGCTAGTTTGGTTGTCGGCACGGACTCCGACCGATATACCCTCTGCCGACTGACCGGAGGCCGTGCTCGGTGCTCCCAGTTCCCAAATCCCCCTGCCACTGCCACGACTTTTTTTTTAATTTGCCACTGGCACGACTTGGACAGCCTGTGGAGTGTGTGGCCTCGGGCGGTCGGGCCGCTGTTTCTGACTGCGACGCTCACTCCATCTGCCTGCAATCCGCAGCATCATTCGTTCGTTGGGTTGGGACTTTTTTTTAACAAAATGCCCACTCACAAGTCACGTCACAAGACAAGCAAACCAGCGTCGTTCAACTGACTTGAAGCCTGTGGGCTTTCAGTCATTTGAGTTTCGATCAATTCAACCCGTGTTCCAGTGGGTGGATACAGCTATATGTCATGTTCGCTTGGGCGATAAGTCATGCCTAAAAGTACTATTGACTGATTTATTGTGAGAGAAAAATACTGTTCGTTAGCTGAAAAATACGATTTATAAGTCAAGCGAAGCGAACAGGACGTATAGATTCCAGGTGTCAACTAAACGGGATTGGGAAGAGGATGGCGCATAGTCCCCATCCCTATCCCTGCTATACCCGATGGGGACAACATTTTTTTTCATTTTCATCCTCATGAACAGGAAAATCTCCCCATCCTCACCATTCCTTAATGGATGAAGAGGCTGTTTGGATTCTAGCCATAGCTGGCCACCACTCAGATGTGGTGAGCCACACACTGTGGCGGAGAAAAGTAGCGCCACACTCTGTGGCGAAAATCCTGAAGAATCTGACGTGTCGTATTCCATGGCTGCCTAACTCTCTTCGCCAACCAAACGTTGTCCAAAAAAGTTGCGGCGGCGGCTCAGTGTGGCGTGGCAGGTGAAGGCCGGCAACCAAACACCCCTGAAATCCCCGCGGAAAATCCGAGATCGACTCTCCATTGCCATGTCTAGTGTTGGTCCTGCTCGGGATGGATGAAGCCACCGTGACGCCTATAGGGCCCGGGTGACCTGCAGGAGCCGTGTCGGCCGCTCAAGCAACCACGCATTCCGAGCCGTGGTAGGGAGTTGGAGGCAAGCTGACGGAGTTCATGGAGAGCGACGACGAGGGCCGGGGAGCCTCTTGTGCACGAGAAAAAGACACAAGGTGCACAACATGTCGAGGTATATGCATAAGCCAATAATGTATAGGGGGATACGACCCAATTTTGAGCGTACCGAGTTGTGCAAACAAGAGGTGCTTTTTGAGGAGAGTGCTTGCATGTACGAGGAGATGTGTAGGAAACCAACAATCTCCCTTTCTACTGCAAGTGCCTCCCATAACAAGATGTAAAGGCGACCAATCAGACTCGCATTATATATTGGTCAGTCATGAGAGATAACAAGGCAGGGTAGTCATCGCTAGTCGCTCGACGATGGACGATATCTCCATCTCAGAATTAGCGCCTGTATTCCAGAATGAAATATAAATCTCGTTTTTCGTCGAGTCAAACAATTCCAAATTTAACTAAATATTTATATGAAAACAAGGTACTAATAACTATGATTCATAATTAGTATTACTAGATTAATTTTAGGATGTATTTTCGTAATAAACATATTTAAAGATAAAATATTGATGTATTTTCTATAAACTAGTCACAAAGGATTATCTGAAGACGAAAATTGGTTTGTTCTCATTCTTTTTTGGGGCGGGAAGGAAATTAAAGGACGTGCTGCTGACTCATGCTCTGTCGCTGTTTTATTCACTTTGGCTGGCCTGCGGCCTGCCTGCCTTCATCTTGACGTATCGTAGGGTCTAAGCTAACAATAAATAAATGTGTGTGTGTGTATTGATAACGATCGATTCGTTTTGGTGCTCTTGGATGGATTGGCCTAGCTGATTGGCTGAATGGCACTGTTGCAGCACCGGGCGATCAATGGTCATCAATAATGAGAATGGATGGATCACCAGTTCACCACCAGGCAGTTAAAGTACTGATCGATTCTTATCTTAGTTTCTTAAAATAATGCACCGAACGAAAATCGATTCCTTTGTATAGGAGCAACAAGGAGATGCTTGTTCATGCATCCATCCATGGACAGACACTGTCATCAACTCATCATCGATCAACGGATCAACTAACCCATCTTACGTATGAGATGGATTATCTATCGTGGATCATGTTAGTGTTCATGGATGCGAGCTAGTAGAAGAGAGCGTCCCACGACTCCAAGGTAGGGAAGCCAGCGCCGCCGCCGCAATCGCTGCTGCTGTAGCCCGCTCCTCCGAGTCCGACACTAACACCGCCGCCACCGGCCCCCACATCCACCTCCGCCGCCGCCGGACGCACGGACGCGGCCGGCCCGGTCGTCCTCCGGGCGGACCCGGACCCGCCGATGCCAAGCAGGAGCGCCGACGTGTCCAGCGTCGGCAGCGCGCCTCGTGCTGCGGCGCGGTAGGGCGCCGGGCGGCAGAGGGTGCTCGCCTCGTGCGGCGGCGGCGGGGGTGCCAGAGGCGGCAGCAGGTCGTCGGCGCCCGTCACCTGATGCACCATGCGCCGGAAGCTGGTGGGGTCCGCGGTGATGTACGTGGTGGGCACCTTCCGCGACGGCCGCGGCCGGCGCCTGCTGGACGCTCGGCGGGCCGCCGTGGGGCGGAGTTGCTTCTGGTGGTGGTTGCGCGGCGGCGGCGGCGGGGACGGGGACGGGGATGGCGTGGTGAGGTCCGGGTCGTAGAGGACCGCCGCCTGGTGCTGGTGATGGATGGGCACGGGTACGGGTACGGCAGGGTGCCATGGCGGCGGCGAGATGGTCGAACCGGCGGAGTGGGTAGAGTCCGTGTGCACGTCGGCGGCGGCGGCGGCGGCGGCGGCCATGAGCATCGTGCAGCAGGATCGCAGTGGAGGCAGATGAGCAGAGCAGAGCAGGCGAGACAGGGGAGGAGGGCCGCGCTGTGCGGCGGCTTATATGCAGGGGAGGTGGGGCAGCGCCCAGTCGGCCACGCCCCGGGCCTGGGGCCCACAAGAGCGGTGAGCACACGTACCTAGCAGGCGGTCCCACGATGGCAGTGAGAGAGAGCTTTGACCATGGAACTCGGAATTTTCAATAAGAAAAATGCATCTCTATTTCTCCCCGGAAAGGAAGTGCGACTGAGTCACTTAATTTCAAACAGAACTTTCTCAACCTGTACTACAATCCTTGAAGCAAATATAAGTATAAAGGTCATACTTAGTAGTACTATGATGATTAATCAAAATCCACTTATCTATTCTATCTTTTATATATTTGTATCTTTTTATGTAAAATCTACATATCAAAATCCACCGGCTATTATTATAATTTTTTTATAGGTGTAAGATTTATATTATCTAATTAAATCAAATAAATTCTAAGGCCCATATATTAAATAATGTGCGCAACATTATTTAGTCCTATACGGGATTTTGACTGAATGTTGACTCGACTTAAAGGTGCGGACTGTGTCTGTCCACATTGAGAAGGTTGAGAAATGATGAGGCGAGCCACACGAGCACGCGTCGCTACCAGCCCCGACGCAGTGCGGGATATGAAAGGTTTTGCCACTCAAATCAATTATGGGTACAAGTTTCTGAGTTACAGGAGTTTCTCCTCGTAATAAGCAAAATAATGAGAAGAGTGAATTATGAGAGTTTCTGAGTTACGAGAGTTTCCGCTCCTAATAAAGGAAATAATGAGAAGAGTGATGGGAGTTTCATGAGTTTCTGCCCCTAATGAGGTAGAGTTACGGGAGTTTCTGCTGCTAATAAGGAAAATAATGAGAAGAGTGAATTATGCGAGTTTTTGAGTTACGAGAGTTTCTGCTCCTAATATGAGAAATACTGAGAAGAGTGATGGGAGTGTTAGGAGTTTCTGCTCCTAATGAGGTAGAAAGGCTCATTTCAACATTTGTCTCTCGATCCAACGCACAAACACATCCACTCCTTCTGCTGCATCCAAGGCTTCCCCGTCCCGGTTCCTACGAGCATGGAAATAGGGAGAGCAGGCCTCCGAAACCGAGTCGTCTATGAGTTCATCTGCCATCAGGTTTTTGAGGAGCGATCACGCGACTGCTCGATCGATCCACGACCTACGACTTCATCTTCTTCCTGGTGTTCGTGACGGCGGCGGGAGTTCAGCACTGCAACCTCTATGCACTGCATCGAGCCGGACGACTACACCAATAGACGCTATGTCAACTAGCGCAACCGGCTCTAGTGTCGCTGGGTATGTTCTAATTCATCCCTTATCTTCAGCAATTAAAATCATGATTATTAGTATCATCTACATGTCCATGTCACTTAGATCACACGTGCACATATATGAGGCCACAAACGTGTTCTTAATCTTTTTCTGGATTAAATTAATACTGAAATTGCCTAAATGTCTAACAATCCATAAACCTGATAGGCATTTTTCGCTAGTCGGCTTTGCGAGTATGCTGAAACCAAATATTTTTTAGGGCACTCATTACAAGAGGTGGCGGCAGAGGTGCATTCTATGGTTGACTGCTATGCACTGCCATTTTGTTGTTGAACCTAGGGTTGTTGGGCCGCATACTCCTAAAGAGGAGCGTGCGTTCCAACATGCTGATACTACGTTCAAGGCTACAATTCTGAGCGTGCTAGGAGACTCCATAATGGATGCATATGTGCCGCTACAAACTGGTAAAAAGATGTGGAATGCACTTGATGACTGTTCTGTAGTAGAACAAGCTCATGAGATACAAACACTAGCAAAAGAGCTCGAAATTTTTGGTTGTGTATTGACAGATAAGTTTGTGGCAGGCTGTATCATTGCAAAGCTACTACAGGCTTGGACAGATTTTGCTATTTCTTTGAAACATAAGAGACAGGAGTTTAGCATTGACGACCTCATTAGCTCTTTGGATGTTAAAGAGAAGGCGAGAGCAAAGGATGTCCGTGGAAACAAAACTGTTGAGGGAGATTTCAGTGCCTATGGTGCAGAAAAATCCTCAAAATTCTCACAAGAAGAAATTTCAGTAAGAACTCAAACAAAAGAACACAACATCTTTTAAGAAGAAGAAGAACAAGAACAAGAAAAAGGGAAATTATTTCACCTGTGGTAAGCCAGGGCATTATGCTAAGAATTGCCTGGATGGCAAGTGGAAGCCCAAGAAGAAATCTGCAAACAGGATTGAAGCAGATGGAGGAACATCGGGGTATGGTAATTTATTACCTACAGTTCTTTTAATTTTTCATTCACCTGATTGGTGGGTGGATACAGGAGCTAATATTCATATAAGTGTTGATATTTTTTTGTTTTCTTCTTATCAGGTTGGGCGGACTTCCTCCTTGTTGATGGAGAATGGGGTGCGTGCGGCTGTACGTGGTGTTGGTACGATCGATCTAAAGCTTACTTCGGAAAAGGTCGTGCAACTAAAGAACGTGTAGCATGTCCCCTCAATAAGGAAGAATTTAAATAGTGGTTCTCTATTATGTCATGATGGCTATAAACTTTTGTTTGAGTCGAATAAGTGTATACTTTTTAAGTATGGGACATTTGTGGGAAAAGGCTATGAGAGCGGAGGCTTGTTCCGCTTGTCTTTAACTGATGCATGTGTTCATTCTGTGAACCATGTGAGCCAGGGTAATGAGACAAATGTTTGGCATTCGCGTTTATATCATATTAATTTTGGTTGTATGACTTGCTTAGCTAGTTTAAATTTAATCTCGAAATTTGATTTGGTCAAAGGTTTTAAATGCCATGTATGTGTTGAATCTAAACAACCTCGCAAGCCTCACAAGGCTGCTGCGGCAAGAGACTTAGCACCATTAGAACTAATCATTCCGATCTATGCGAAATGAATGACAAGTTGACCAAAGGTGGCAAAAGGTATTTCATGACGATTATAGATGGTTGTACTAGATTTTACCATGTGTGTTTAATGAAATCAAAAGATGAAGCGTTGCATTATTTTAAGATCTATAAAGCTGAAGTAGAAAACCAACTAGAGAAGAACATCAAACTGTTGCGGACTCATCGCAGGGGAGAATATTTCTCAAATGATTTTTCTGAGTTTTGCGCGGAGCATGGGATCATTCATGAGAGGACACCGCCAAACTCACCACAATCCAATGGGATTACAGAGAGAGAACCGCATTCTAACTAAGTTAGTTAACGCCATGTTAAAGACAACGGGACTATCTAAGGAATAGTGGGGTGAGGCAATATTGATAGCATGTCATGTCCTGAATAGAGTGCCCACTAAAAACAAAAAAAATACGTCATTTGAGGAATGGGAGAAGAATAGATTAAATCTCTCTTACCTGTGAACATGGGGTTGTTTGGCAAAGGTGAATGTGCCAATTAATAAGAAACGAAAGCTTGGGCCCAAAACCGTTGATTGTGTCTTTTTTGGATTTGCTATTCACAGCGTGGGTTATAAATTTTTAATAAAAATTCTAGAGTGCCTGATATAAATGTTGTACTATCATGGAATCTAGAGATGCTACATTTCTTGAGAATGAGTTTTCTATAAAAAAAATACACCTAGCACTTCTAGTCATGAGTCTATTTCATTTCATGAGACGAATGAACCAGTAATACACGCTGATGTTGAAACCCATGTGGAAAAACATGAGGAGCATAATAATATAGTCACTCAAAAGAGTAAGAGACAGAGAACTGCATAGTCTTTTGGTGAAGACTATGTTATATACCTCGTGGATGACACTCCTAAAACCATAGAAGAGGCAAATTCATCTCTTGATGCTAACTTATGGAAGGAAGCTATTCAGAATGAGATAGACTCTATAATGTCTAATGAAACTTGGGAGGTTGTTGATCATCCTTACGGGTGTAAACCTGTGGGATATAAATGGGTGTTCAAGAAAAAGTTTAGGCCTGATGGTACTATTGAGAAATAAAAGGCGAGGCTTGTAGCAAAGGGCTATACACAGAAAGAGGGTGAAGATTATTTTGATAGTTATTCACCAGTTGCCCGTCTAACGACTATGCGAGTGCTACTTTCCTTGGCTGCCTCACATGGTCTTCTCGTTCATCAGATGGATGTTAAGACAACTTTCTTGAATGGAGAGCTTGAGGAAGAGATCTATATAGATCAGTCCGATGGATTTGTAGCAAAGGGGCAAGAGGGAAAGGTGTGTAAGTTATTGAAATCTTTGCATGGTCTAAAACAAGCTCCTAAGCAGTGGCATGAAAAGTTCGACAGAACTCTGACATCAGCCGGCTTTGTTGTGAACGAAGCTGATAAATGTGTATATTATCGGTGTGCTGGAGAAGGTGTGATCTTGTGCTTATATGTGGATGGTATACTAATTTTTGAAAATAATATTAATGTGATCAAGAAAGTGAAAGACTTCTTGTCAAGTAACATTGAAATGAAGGATTTGGGAGAAGTTGATGTTATTCTTAACATAAAGCTACTCAGAGAAGGAAATGGTGGGGTAACTCTTGTGCAATCCCACTATATGGAAAAGGTGTTGAGTCAATTTGGATATAGTGACTGTACACCTGCTCCAACTCCTTATGACCCAAGTATGCTATTAAGAAAAAATCGTAGAATAACACATGATCAATTGAGATATTCTCAAGGTATTGGCTCTCTTATGTATTTAGCTAGTGCAACGAAGTCTGACATCTCATTTGTTGCGAGCAAACTCAGCCAATTTGTTTCAAATCCATGGGGTGATCACTAGTGTGCTCTTGAGAGGGTACTGCGTTATCTAAAAGGGACTATGAGCTATGGGATTCACTATACCGGGTATCTGAGGGTACTAGAGGGTTATTGTGATGCAAATTGGATATCTGATGCTGATAAAATTTATGCCACAAGTGGATATGCGTTCTCACTTGGAGGTGGCGATGTTTCATGAAAGTCTTG